TGGATCGCAGAGAGACACGGGATTGGCTGAGGCCAGGTGGTCCAACATGTCTGCGCCCTAATCCGACGCCACACCACACTGCAAAGTCAAGTTCATTGGCCTTCGACTGTTGAGTTCGGTGGCGTCTTTTGTCATTTGTGAGATCCCGGATCTAGCCTGATGTCAGGTATACTTGTATCGTTTTGCATTATTTTACTATACGGAAAAGATAATTCGAGGTACAGATGTGGTATTCGTTCGGACTCATTTTTCGTTAAGGGGTTCAGTGTTCCCTAAAGATTCTGACTGGAAATATTAATTCATATGCTGTCACATTTGTTCATTTAATGCCAATTTTATATGTCGATGGTAGGATTTTGTAGTGGTTATAATTTGATGTAAATTAGAGCTAGCTTTATGTCTTGTGGTTTTTCCCTGGATATTTTTTGCATTTCGCATAATCCAGTGACTTTAATGTAGATGTGATGCCGGCGCATGATTTTGTCTATTGGGACGACAATGTATCCCCAGCTGACATCACTCTTGCCTCCCGAAAGACGCGTCGCAAATCCTTTCGCCGCAGCATGGTGGTTCTACCCATCTCAACAAGCTCGCCAGTTACTTGCAGTGGTCCCAAGGTGACTCTTCGCCGAAAGAGTCTAGGTGTTGCTTTCCAAGCCAAACATGCCTCTCATATTTCTCCATCAGTTACTTCGCAAGATTGCACGGTTTCTCGGGGTAAAGAGATTAGCGCTCGCACCGAGAGTTCTTTTCGGACTCATGCACAAATACAGTCTATTTTCAACGCACCTTTGGATACTGAAAAACAATTGTCACCAAAAGAATCACCTCCGAACTGTGCCTTCCGAGCAAACAATGCTAGACCCTTTCAAATGTTTTCTGAACCTGTTTGGAAACCTGATTCTAAGGACTCGGATCTTCTACCAGATTCCGTAGATGCACTATATGAAAATTACGGGCGCGAGCTTGGAGAGTGGCCAAAGCTTCTAGCACGGCTAAAGTGGGATGCATGTTGTGCTCTTCAAGTTCCAAGCGTAACTCGCATGGACGTGGTTGCCAATCCGATTCTGACACCTTTTGCTGAGTTACTGTTCCCGGATAGGTCAGCTACAAGTGTCAGGGAGCTTCAGCAACGTACAAAGCGAATTTACGCTTCGACGATGGCCGGTGTGGCGAGAGCTCAATTAGATCACAAAAGAACAAGATATATGGTCTCCATTGTAAAACGCCAACAAAAAATATTAAGGGACGCCAAGCTAAAGGAACTCCTACCTCGTGTAGCAAATAGCCATAGTCCTATGAATGCCAATGATATTCTTACTTTTATTCCATGTTTACGTGAAACTGATGAAAATGTCTTGTAAATTTTAGAATTATTTTTAAAATGGATAGTTGTAATAAACTGTTTAATGGCCTTGCTGGGACCTAGTGCTGCCTACTTGTGCATAATTTGGGGTGGTGAGTTAAATCACTATCAGTTATATACCAAAGTATATTTCTATTTGAGCATTTTATTCTTGGTAATATGTCCACCTTAGCGCTTTATTATCCATAAAGAGCTTTCATGTTCACCGAAATTTTGCAGGTTGCTTTAGATCATGACTGGGGTGCAATGTTGTTAATCTGCGTAATTGTTGGTTGGTTGTACAGTGACTCCACGATGTGAGATTTTCATTAATATGAGTGAACTTGTTATGCTTTCTGACTACCACAAGTACAGCGGTTATTGGGCATAAGTCAAATTGAAGTAGCGAAAGCACGATTGGCATTTACATACATGCATTTTTTTGGAAATTTAGGAATTTTTATGTTTTAACATAGGAATTACGCAGTCCCGAATTTTTTAATGAGGGAATCTTGCTGATTAACGTTAAAAAGCTGCTTTTTCTGAAAAGAATGTAGGTCAGATCTGCACGTCATGGCAGTTAGTTACTTGAACCACGAGATCCTGATTTTTTGGTTGATGATCCTGAGAGAAACAGTTGGATTTTACCATTCTTTTCACACATGTCCATCTCTTGAATTTTTGGTTGATCTTCTGAAAACCTTATTTATTTCCTGCCCTATTCTAACATCGGAAATTTCGAGACATAATTCTCAGTCTCTCGCCATCATACGGTGCACGAATTCCACGTAATCGATCCGGCCTTCTGGGTCTGGCCCGGCGGTGTTTATGAGCGCAGTTACTTCAGGCTCATTAAGCTTTTCGCCCAATGTACAGAGAATTTGCATTAGTTTTTGCATTGTTAAGTAGCCGTCAGAATTAGAGTCGAATAACCGAAATGCGTCCTGTATATCCTCTTCAGTATATATGTCTTTCTCCTTCTTTGAGGCAATTTGACAAAATTGTTCGTAACTGAAACCATCAGCGAATATAGTATTGTCGGTGTCAACCGAACGCAGCAAATCCTAAAAAGTGAGAATGTTATTATTGGCTTGTCGCTGAAGCAGCGTTCTAATATTAATAAACCACTTCCGAGATCTCAAGTCCCTTGACTTTACGATCGGAAGCACAAAAAACTGCTCTTTTGATATAGTCATAGCTTCAGTCTGTGAGAGGCGTATTATATTAAACCGTTTGACAATTATGCTTCTTGATTGTCGGCTAAGCAAAACCGATTCTGCATTTGAGTGTGGTTATTATTTGCTTAATATTCTAAAGCTATGGTCATAGGCATTTAAACATTGTGCAATCAATGCGCTAATATTAGTCGCTGCAATACTAAAGTGATTTTTCTCTACTTTTGAAGTAGTTGGGGATTCACGAAATGCGTGAAGAAAATTTACATGGTTAGGAATGTCCTTACATGTATTAAAGCAACAACAGTTCTAGTCTATAACAGCTGCTGGGCATCTGGACAGGCCTTTATGTACCGTTAATCCTGTTATATTTAAAAACAAGTATACGAACAAGAATTTGCGAACCTCGATTTCGCACTCAGAAGGCATGAGGCCGACTTTGCGCATACACGGTAAAATGAATTCGCAAGGTACTTTGCCTTGACCTTCTTCATCAAACGATTGGAATGCTTCCTCGTATTCAACAAGTCGCTCCTCTGTTATATAAACGGCGAGTTTCGGTGGCATTCCCTAAACCTGCTTCAGACAAAATAATTTGAATTAGGAGGGGGACATTTGCTTCATGTATGATGTGTTTTCTGCGTGAAACCTCTTCAATCCGTGATAATTTATAAGCCATTCCTTACGATTTGTCTACAATAATCCTTTGTATTCGACCAGCGAAGGCTTTGTAAACGACAGCATCCTACGTTATTTATATAAGAAGCGGACGTTTAAAATATCGTGCTACTGATATACGGGTAAAATGTCAAAGTCACTTTGATTCACCATATCAGTGTAACGAGTCTATTCAGTAACAAACAACGGTAAAAAAATTATTAGAAGCACTCTCCATATACTTATTCGTTCGATAGTTGCGACATATTATTGACTTAAATTAAATATATCACTTAAAGTCAAATTCATTACTTACGCAAATAAAAGGATAAAGTTTATTTGAACCAAATACAAAATATTAGATAGTGTTGCTATGATTTGAAATGGCGGTATTAAAGATTAAGGTCATATCAATTAGTTGGTCGAAATATGTTTACATTGATAAAACCTTGTTAATGATACTGAGACATTAAAGACGGCTAAATATTTAGTCAATAAGAAACAGCCTTAATTTTGTGCTGCTAAAAGATTAACACGGGCTCGTCACATGTTAACAAGAGCCAAATTCGGTCATCTTGTATCGAGAATTCCCAGTCCTTGCAGAAAAAAAACCTGCGTAAAAACCAATGTTATGAAGGTTTTCACCATCATAGTTAGATATGTGACTTAGTGCATATAGTTATTTTTGTGTACTGACATACTACTTCACTCAGGCAAATGCGAATGCACAAGCCGCTTTTATTTTAAATTAAACAATTGCTAAAAGGAAAGCGTATGAAACTGTGACATTGAATTTTTAAGAGGCAAGTGCTTTTTTATATAGAAAAATGCATCTTTAGGGTCAGCTTTTCCTAACGCGGTGAAGAGCCGCGGACGCGGAGCTTTAGGTAATTGTCCTAGAGTATATATGCAAGGCGTGAACCAGGTAGCACAAGTCCTAAATTCTGCATGCTGCTGCACCATTAGAACTTGCTCTTGATTAATATCATTAAACAAACACAATGAGAATTATTAGTACGGTAACTTTTGTGATGATTGTTACAGTGTACTTCAAAATACCAAAAACAGAAGTCAAACCTATGTAAGCAAATAAAATATATCCAATTCGAATGGCAACGTTTTCGAAAATGATAAAGGCAAATTCAATTCCTCAAACTTGAGCATAAGAAGATTGACCTAACACAAATATCCATAGTACCATCTTGTGGATCCGTGTTCGTGGCCCATCTTGCTTCGTGTGTAATATGGCAAACTTCAGCTACCTGGAAAGGCTTTAGGTTCCTTTATGTCACAATATTTGTGTCCATATACTCCGATGCCCCAAAGGCTTTAAATCCGTCTGTAAATTTACCTCAGAGAATATGTAAATGAGATGAGTTGACTTGCTTGCTCGAAATCTGAGATCGAAATTTCCTCCTATTTGCTCGCACCCTGCCCTTGAACTAGACGGTAGGCCCTACGTGTAATGAAAGGGTTCTGGTATAATTATCCAAAAGCGTTTCAGAATAGATACAATTGTTTACAGTTTCATTAAACTTAGGAGAATCTTAATGCGTAAAACACAATTTTGGAGGTCATAGGCAAATCAGTCATTTTGGAGTTATGACCATAAAGCGTGCATTCTAATTCCGGTATATTTTGCAAATTAACCGTGTTTTTTAAAATTATACGTTTACCGTATTATAGGGCTACGTTTTTTTTCTGACAGAATTAAGGGCAAATGGAAACAAAATTATCTTCCGTTTATGTTCACTAAATGGCATATCTGAATTGTGAAACTCGCGCCATGCAAACCACACACGTTGGTCTGGTCTATTCTTAGTTCTTTTCTCCTCTCCCGCTATCCCACTTTCCTCAAGGCACATCTATGGGCCTGAGGGCAACGCCGACCCTCCCCACAGCCATTCCCTTCATCCTCCAGCTCAAACACTCTTCCTAAGCTTTAGCCTCTCTGCATTTGTATGCGATAGTATGGAATATATCAAATGCTCCCAGCTGTTCTTTTCTCATATGCCTGGTGGTCAGCCTTGATGGTATGGCTATCTTAGAGCGATGGGCCAACAGCTATCTATTCACTCACAGCCCCGTTCGGTAGGCGCGTTGCGCAGGGGTCGGCCGTGCCATGAACGAACAACTGATGAGTAATAATTAAATTTTGAGCGCACAAGTAAATTAGATGACTTTAAGACAAATCCTAGGATTAATACAGCTACACTTTTAACAAATTTTCTTTGGACGTTCAAATTACATTTTTACTTTGCTTGGTCCTAAATAAAACAGACCTAGGCTAATATTCTTAATAAATCTTGTAAGCTGTGTACATCAGAGGACACAGTTTAATGTACATTGCTGTATTCTATTCCTTTTTAATTAGCGTTAGCAGCAAATGTGTGCATTTTAATTGTGTGTTGTTTTGAAAAAATACCGGAGGATTTTTGAAACGGTGTTGCAATTCACAACTTTCTTACACTTTTGGACGGGAAATGCAGTGTATCTTTCTTTTTCTCGAAATATTTCAGTGCACATACATAATCTAAAACCACCCTAAATGGCTTAAGTTCGATACTTATAAACAGATATCCAAATTTTACTGAATCTTTTGACTTTTACTAAACTCGGAAAATCCTGAGAAACCTTTATTAAAACATGTGTTTAATGACAAAATATCTATAACAATTTATGAATGACTACATGCCATAATGTAAGATCTTTTAAACATGTCTATTTTGCATCGTAGGATCATATAGTGTTTTCTGTTGTGATAAATTTGCCACAAATAATCACGGGCGAGAGCGGAATGATGCACGTGGTGACTATTAAGGTTGAGATGGCTTCCCAAGTATTAAATGATATGATTTTGGGTGGATGGTTCTTAACGGTTAAGAAGAAAATAACATTTCGGTGGTGTTACTTTATAAAAAGTTATTAAAGAAGGTCTTAAATAAGAACAGCCTAAACAATAATAAACAGATGTGTCGGAATCGGAAAAAACAAAGATAATTCGGAACGTTAAATATTTTTTGCGGTTTATCCTAAACAAAAAATATGACAACAATAAATAGAGCAAAAAAACAAAGGGTATACTGTAGGTGCATGCAGCAAAAAGGGATAATTTGAATGGTGAATAGTGTACCAACAAACCTGTTTGTTAAAACGAAGGATAATTCAGGACCAACATGCAACTATTACATAGACCTCTTGCCAAAATTGGTGTTTCGTCAAAATGGCACAGAAATATCAACGCAGTATTAAATGAATATTAACAAAGTGCCGCTGCATTGTTTTTTCTTTTATATTAATATTTAAGTCACGACCATTACATCTTAATATTGTCCAAAACTTTTCGAAACTCGAGGTCAGTCTCCCATTATAATTTGCACCATAACATTTACAATTATTACTCTTGGTTCTGATACCGCGAGTCTTGATACAGCTGAAAAAAAGCCGTTTAACATAATTTTAAGTCTTCTCAAAGTGCATGGTGCCTAAATTGCAACTTTCTATACTGTCCTGCTCATTCTGAATGCGACCACCTCTCCGAAGATTTACTGCATTGTTGGAATTTATGATCGGATGTGGTCAAGGTTGTTACGACCAGGAAATGCTAAGGTTTTAGTGTGAAGCAAAAATTTTTCTTTTAGGCTTGTTGCGGGTCCCACGTGTGGTCTCGAACCACGCCGAAGCCACTGAGTTAAACCTGGCCAGATTACGCTTCCCTGCTACTCGAGTTGAAGAAAAAGACCAGAGAGTATGTGGACACAATCGTTTACTTCAGAGCTCAACCAAGTTGGTGTCATTGTGTCGTGGATGGCGTTTGCGCGTATATTTGTAGCTTAGATGTGTGAGTCATAGATAAGCTAACATCGTGACCTAGGTGTGAGCATAATCCAAGATCATCGTTGGGGGTTGGTGATCCACGTGGCTTGAGATATGCTGCGAAAAGGAGGACCCTGTGTCGGAGACTGGAGTGACCAAATTAGCGAGTGTGAATCAACGCGATTCACAAGAAGCTTATGACCACGCAACTAATCGTGGCCTTGTTCAAACTCTCATAGTTTCCACAAGAATACTTTTGATTTAAACTTTGTTGTTTATTGAGTTCAAACGGTGATTTTAAGTACATAATTTAATTTAAGAAATTTGTCGACATCGTTTTAAAAAGAGTTTGAGCAAAATGAAATACCATGAGCTCCATGGTATAACAGAAGTTAAAACGTGTCAAACCGACCTAATTGGCAGAGTTCAAATAAGCGGACACTCAGTCAAATGTGAACACTAGAACAGAGAAAATCACGGATAAGTCACCGACTCTTAAAACTGAGACGTAGTCATGACCTTTTGTCGAGAGCTTCTACTGTCTCAGCAAAAGCCCAAGGAAAACATTCAGATGCGCCAACTTACACATGGTGTGAGCGGCCTCGAACGGGGTGCAGGTAAATTGTAAATTTAAAGGTTAGTTGGGCAATAGGATATGGATGGCATATAAGAAAACAACAGAAAAAGTTGATGATGCTGAATAACTACACAGACCAAATACCTTAAATCTTGTCATCAAAGATCCTTCTGGAGGTTTTCGTCTACCACGTCTTTCATACACACAATGAGAAAGATGCAGGCCCTTGTCGTATAAGCTCACTAGACCAGTGCACTTTAAGCGTGCATTAGGAAACTTTAGTGTGATTTCGCGTTGATGTGGTAATCAAAGTGGAATAAGCCTTAGTTGACGACATTACGAAAAAATGTTTAAATCGCCACAAATAAATTCGTTGCACTTTGATTCCACAAAATCATTGTTTATCTAAATCGGACCAGTTTGCATAAAGTCATCCGCAACATGCTTCAGGATTAGAAGACGCTAAACACTTATGAATACTACACCCTGTGTTACCGGTACTACCTAGCATCAACAT